GAAAGAATACCATATGTATTCTTATTGGTGCTCCAACTGGAATTCATGCGGCTACTTTAGTGTACATAGTCTCCAAACAAGCATCCCAAGTCCTCCTGTATAGTAAGATTGCTGTGCATCCTCCCTAGTTCTGTGCAGCAGGGATGCTGCTGCGGTTATCCCAGCGTGACGGCGGGATGGGACATGCACTGGTCAGGTATTATTCTTGGGACCATACTGCAAAGTTACGCTGTGTCATGCAGCAAGTATGTTTGTTTTAGGGATTTCTGAGCAGTTCCCTTACTTTTCTTCTTGAGGTAGACAGGGCATGCAGGGAGTCACTGAGGGATGATCAGCTGAAAAATGTATAAGCCAAGGGAGAGAATAGCCCCAGGGGCGATTCAGTACAGCCGATCACTGCGGGACAGCACAGGCATCCCAATATATTCTTTAAATTAGTAGAAGAGGTTATCATACCAAGGGGGGAGGGTAGATACAGTATAGGCGTGGTTACATGTGTATCCTCTTGAAGGCCGGAGGCCAGTCAGCCCAGTTGCAAGCCCAGAAGGATCCCAGCCCCGGTTATAGGACCTCCGGTTCTTATATTAAGCCTGCTGCCACCCAGGATGGCAGACGAGATTAGATGATATAGGCGACGGAGCTCCTCAATTATGTAGCTGCTCCGGTTGCCCATCATTTTGGACACGCCATCCCCAGACTGATATTTAAAACACGATTAGAAGCAATGAACATAGAGTATAAGTCTTTATCTCATAAGATATGTTAAACTTTGCTTTCTGACACACTTTCTCATTCTTATTTGAGTCATTTCCCAGTCTAAAACACCAGTCTGGCCTGATAGGCTTGAGTCATTACTGAAAAGGGAATTGATTGATTTACAGCACTGTCTGGCACATATTTCAAACTGAAAGATGGGGGGTGCCAATAAGGAAAGGTGTGATAATTACTGGTACTTCCATAAGGGGAATCATCATTGTACTAAGGTGTAATTTACTACAAAACCAGCAATGTTCATGATCAGATTTCTGAGCATATCTATATTTAAATCTGGAATAAAAGCATCTTTTCAGTTAGTGACTTTATTGACATATCAAGTTCCCTTTGTGTCAAGATTGGTCCTTTTAAAGTCCTGACATTGCTACGCAAGTGGACCTTACACAGGGATTCTGCAATATACGTACTCAGGGGGACACACACTGATAGTGTATGCAAACCAGATAGACCATAGTAGAGAGAACAGAAAAAGCATCCTCATCTCGGCTTCCAAGAACCATCCATAGGATTCACAATAATCATTTTGCAATGACTAGCATGGACCCAGTAGACTTCCCTTCTAGTTTGACCGCAGTGTCTGTCTGGAGAAGCAATTGATAGGGCCCTTCAAAAAAAAAATAAAAGCATTCAACCAAACTTCTCTTTCTCACAGGTTTCCGGACTAAGACCAGAGCTTCGGGCTGTAAGCTGTGAGTTCCCTGCAAAAGAGGAAAGGTCATGATATGGAAGAATAGATTAGATTATGCATGTCCTCCAGTCTCCTGTGAAGGCTTTGAAACAAACAAATAAAGATCATTTTTCCAGAACAGGCATTTATTGGGAGAAGTAACATTCAAACTTAGGTACTGTCCCAAAAGTATCTCATAGGAAGAATGTCCAGTCTTTGCATTTGGGGTTATTCTGATAGTGTACAGTATAGCAATATAGGCAAGCAATCTACCCAAGTCATCTTTGTTTCCTCTGCCATCTTTTCTAGTCCGTTTTTGATTAACCCATTTACCCTTTCAACTTCCCCACTACTCTGTGGATGGTATGGGGTGTGAAGGGATTGTTCTATTGCTAGACTTCCCATAATTATAGTCATGACATCTCCTGTGAAACGTGTACCTCTGTCTGATTTAGTGGTCTCTGTTACATCATATCTGCACACAACGTGAGAACATGTCCACACACATCAACACATACTCATAGGTGCCACACCTTGGTAGCTAGATGTAATCTACCTGGAGCCTCTGAAATGGATAGTTAGGCTTAGGGAAGTGTCTTAAAGGCACAGTCACTGTTTTCCCCGTATTGTGTTGAGCATAAGTCAGACATGAAGTGCAAAAATGGGCAGCAAATGTTGCAAACCCTGGGGCTAGCCACAATTTTCCTATGGAGATGGCCATTGCATGCTTGAATACATGTCCCTGGTCCATGAGCGAGAACTGCAGCAGTGGGGTACAGACATCTATGGAGGCACCATTGAGTCCCACAGGTCCACAAGTCCTTCTGGAAGGCTGGGATCCCTCTCTTTCATATGATTGTTTCTACTTGTTCTGGGCCTGATTCTGCAGGCAGACCAAAGTGTCCTCATCCCACATTTCCAGTGAACCAATGTCTGGTGTAGCCAGGTTGATGGCCTTGATGGGCATCAAGGCTGCTTTCTTTTGTAGTTTCATGCGCAGCTCAGTTTCCTGCATCTTCCTTGTTGTCAGTTGTATGAGATTTGACTTTTAAAATGGCCAACTCCAAGGGCTCATGGAAACCCTTATACAATCTGTCTAGCATTTTTGCATGTCTGACTGGTTTCCCAGAAAATTCCTAGCATTCCATATAGGGCTAAAGTCATGTGCTACACCATAAGTGTATCTGCTGTCAGTGTGAACATTTCCCCTTTTACCGTTCAGCCAGAGGCATGCTGCTTCAAGTGCATGCAGTTCTGCTTCTTGTGCAGACATATGTGATGGCAATGCTTCTTGCACTAAAACTGTCTTGTAATGTGTTACTGCACAGCCTGTGTATGGGACACCATCTGATTTATAATATATGGATCCATCCATGAAAAGATTGTAAACATCGTCACCCACTAGTGGGACCTCTTTAGCTGGTGTGATGGATAGTGATTCTGCTTCCATCAGTGCTAAACAGTCATGAGAGTACAACCTTGCATGGGGGCAATCTGAGGCAAAATTATCAAAATGGACTTCTGCACAAGGATGGATCTCTGGTGCCTGCTCAGGCTCTGGCCACTGGCCACTACATGTGTATGTATAAACACTGCAGGGTTAACGATCGCACAGCATTTGATTGTCTGATTAGGAGGGGTTAACAAAGCCACTTCATATTTTGTGAGTCTGGTAAGAGAGAGAGGTGGTGTGTTTGGACATTTTCTAAGACCTTATGGACAGAGTGAGGGACAAAATTGGTAAGCGCATGGTCCATTACAATGTGAGCAACTTTATCTAGAAGCAGAATACAGGTGTCAGGGCTCCCAGGTATGACCAGAGGTGTGTGACTGAAGCAGGGAAACGCAGACTTCAGATATGTGATTAACAATGTAATTTATTAACACTAACAATACAAACATAAACGCAGTGCAATACTAAACATAATACAGTGCAAACAAACCCAACCAACCACCCACAGATAACAGTACATACAAGCAAGCGTCGTCAGGCAGGCCGAGTCAATATCAATTGGGCAGGTAGGTACAGGGGGAGCAAGCGGAGAATGGTCGGGGTCACAGGCCAGGTTCAGCAGGTAGCAAGCAGCGTAGTACAGAGGGTCAGGCAGAGGGATGGTCAGGGTCACAAGCCAGGGATCAGAACAGGTAGCAAGCAGCGTAGTACAGAGGGTCAGGCAGAGGGATGGTCAGGGTCACAAGCCAGGGATCAGAACAGGTAGCAAAGGAACAGAAACAGGATGCAGGACAGATACAGGGCCCAGGACAAACACAACACCAAGGCAGAGTCTGCAAGTCTGGCCATCCCTTAAATACACCAGTATCATCAGTTCCAGGTGTTAGCTGGCTGAAAGGTTGAGTCTCTGATTGTTGGGAGCACCCGCTGGCCAGCCCTGGTACTGCAGATCAAAAGGCAGGTGAGTCCCACCATTGCTGGCCAGTCCATTCCTGACAGTACCCCCCCCTCAAGGAGCGGCCTCAGGACGCTCCAAACAGTCCTAGCTGGGAAAAATGTTCCACCGCCCGGGTCTGGTAACTGGCGGGATATCAAAGACTGGCACACCGGGCAGGACTTCTGGCAGCGGTACACCCGGGCAGAGGCACATCGGGCTGGACTCCGGGCAGAGGCACATCGGGCTGGACTCCGGGCAGAGGCACATCGGGCTGGACTCCGGGCAGAGGCACATCGGGCTGGACTCCGGGCAGAGGCACATCGGGCTGGACTCCGGGCAGAGGCACATCGGGCTGGACTCCGGGCAGAGGCACATCGGGCTGGACTCCGGGCAGAGGCACATCGGGCTGGACTCCGGGCAGAGGCACATCGGGCAGGACTCCGGGCAGAGGCACATCGGGCAGGACTCCGGGCAGAGGCACATCGGGCAGGACTCCGGGCAGAGGCACATCGGGCAGGACTCCGGGCAGAGGCACATCGGGCAGGACTCCGGGCAGAGGCACATCGGGCAGGACCAGGGCACATCGGGCTACCAGCGAAGCGGGCGGGCCACCGGGCGGAGCGGCAGGCACCGGGCCCCCGGGCGGAGCGGCAGGCACCGGGCCCCCGGGCGGAGCGGCAGGCACCGGGCCCCCGGGCGGAGCGGCAGGCACCGGCCCCCGAGCGGAGCGGCAGGCACCGGGCCCCCGGGTGGAGCGGCAGGCCTCGGGCCCCCAGGCGGGGCGACAGGCCTCGGGCCCCCGGGTGGGGCGACAGGCCTCGGCCCCCCGGGGGGCGACAGGCATCGGGCCCCCAGGCGGAACTACAGGTCTCGGGCCCTCAGGCGGAGCGGCGGGTGCCGGACCCCCAGATGGAGCGACAGGCATCGGGCCCCCAGGCGGGGCGACAGGCATCGGGCCCCCAGGCGGGGCGACAGGCATCGGGCCCCCCAGGCGGAGCGGCGGGCGCCGGACCCCCAGGCGGAACTACAGGTCTCGGGCCCCTCAGGCGGAGCGGTGGGCGCCGGACCCCCGGGTGGAGCGACAGGTCTCGGGCCCTCAGGCGGAGCGGCGGGCGCCGGACCCCCCCCAGGTGGGAGCGACAGGTCTCGGGCCCCCAGGCGGAGCGACAGGTCTCGGGCCCCCAGGCGGAGCGGCGGGCGCCGGACCCCCAGGTGGAGCGACAGGTCTCGGGCCCTCAGGCGGAGCGGCGGGCGCCGGACCCCCAGGTGGAGCGACAGGTCTCGGGCCCTCAGGCGGAGCGACAGGTCTCGGGCCCCCAGGCGGGGCGGCGGGGGCGCCGGACCCCCAGGTGGAGCGGCGGGCGCTGGACCCCCAGGCGGAGCGACAGGTCTCGGGCCCCCAGGCGGAGCAGCGGGCGCCGGACCCCCAGGTGGAGCGACAGGTCTCGGGCCCCCCCCAGGCGGAGCGACAGGTCTCGGGCCCCCAGGCGGAGCGGCGGGCGCCGGACCCCCAGGTGGAGCGACAGGTCTCGGGCCCTCAGGCGGAGCGGCGGGCGCCGGACCCCCAGGTGGAGCGACAGGTCTCGGGCCCTCAGGCGGAGCGACAGGTCTCGGGCCCCCAGGTGGGGCGGCGGGCGCCGGACCCCCAGGTGGAGCGGCGGGCGCTGGACCCCCAGGCGGAGCGACAGGTCTCGGGCCCCCAGGCGGAGCAGCGGGCACCGAGTCACCAGGCACGACAGTGGGCTCCGAGTCAACTGGCATGACCGCTGGCACTAGGTCAGACATTGGATCGTCTGGCTGGACAGCGGGCATCGGGTCACCAGGCATCAGGTCATTTGGCGACAGCGGGCACCGTGTCATCTGGCAAGGCAGTGGGCTCCGAGTCAACTGGTATGACCGCGGGCACTGGGTCAGACATTGGATCGTCTGACCGGACAGCGGGCATCGGGTCACCAGGCATCAGGTCATTTGGCTCGACCGCGGGCACCGCGTCATCTGGCAAGGCAGTGGGTTCCGAGTCAACTGGCATGACCGGGGCACTGGGGCAGACATTGAATCGTCTGGCTGGACAGCGGGCATCGGGTCACCAGGCATCAGGTCATTTGGCTCGACAGCGGGCACCGCGTCATCTGGCAAGGCAGTGGGCTCCGAGTCAACAGGCACGACAGTGGGCACCGGGTCATCAGGTACCAGATTGTCTGGCTCGACAGCAGGCATCGGGTCACCAGGTATGACAGCGGGCACTGGGTCACCAGGCATCAGGTCATTTGGCTTGCCAGCGGGCACCGCGTCATCTGGCAAGGCAGTGGGCACCGGGTCACCAGGTACGACAGCGGGCTCTGAGTCAATTGGCACGACAGCGGGCACCGGATCAGGTACCGGATCATCTGGATCAACAGCGGGCATCGAGTCAACTGGCCTAATAGGATCGTCAGGCTGGATCAGTTCATCATGCTGGGTAGAGGCATCAGGCTGAATGCCGAGGTCCAGGCTGAGTAGAGGCTTCAGGCCGAGTAGAGGCTTCAGGCCGAGTAGAGGCTTCAGGCCGAGTAGAGGCTTCAGGCCGAGTAGAGGCATCAGGCCGAGTAGAGGCATCAGGCCGAGTAGAGGCTTCAGGCCGCAGTAGAGGCATCAGGCCGAGTAGAGGCTTCAGGCCGAGTAGAGGCATCAGGCTGAAGAGCGGCATCAGGCTGCATACAGGCATCAAGCTGAAGAGCTGAGAGAGGCATCCGGCTGAGTAGAGGCTTCAGGCTGAGTACAGGCATCAGGCTGAGTAGAGGCATCAGGCTGAGTAGAGGCTTCAGGCTGAGTAGAGGCTTCAGGCTGAGTAGAGGCTTCAGGCTGAACCACGGAAGGCAGGCTCACCGGTTTGGATACTGGCAGGATGGTATTGGTTGGAAAGAATTTTCGCTTTTTTCTGGTTTTAACTACTGGAGCACTGCAAGTAAACGCAGGTCTGCAAACGAATGGAGCAGCTGGAGACAGAGAAGAACTGGAGGATGGAACAGGAGAGGGAGCAGTTGCTACAGAGGGCTTTTTTACAGGGTTAAAGGCAGGATAGGTGCAGCGAGTGGGAACAGGGTACTGACATGCGGTAGATAGCCAAGTATACTGGGCTGTAACTGGAGGAGCTGTTGGGAATACAGGAGTAGAGTTAGAAGCAGGACTGGGTCTTTGTAAGCTGACTGAGGCTGGGTGCAACAAGTCTGACCATGTCTGCAGTATGGGTTGAACAAAGCTGAGCTTACACAAAGCCTGTCCGACCAAAGACTGCACTGCGTTTATACAATCTCTTAGTGTCTGTGGTGAACATGTGGAATAACGCTCCAGAAAGTAACCCACATCATCCTCTAATAACCACACCAGGGACTCTACCTGGTCTGCACTAAATGGTGGCAAAAATTCATCCCTGCATTCGGGGGAACCAGATGAAACCAACTCAGCACAAACCTCAATCAATGGCTGCACCTCAGAGAACTCTGTGCCCTGATCTACTAGAACATGAGCGAGCCGTATACATTCTAGCAGTTCATCCCGGGTATACTCCTTCAGAGTTTGATAAGCATACTCCCTGTCATCAAACACTAGCAGATATAAATACGCAACCTCATCCAGATCCATCCTTCCCATCAACAAGCCAAGATGGCTTCCCTGTGCAGCCACTTCTGGTCAGGATTGGCCTTGGTGTAATGTCAGGGCTCCCAGGTATGACCAGAGGTGTGTGACTGAAGCAGGGAAACGCAGACTTCAGATATGTGATTAACAAATGTAATTTATTAACACTAACAATACAAACATAAACGCAGTGCAATACTAAACATAATACAGTGCAAACAAACCCAACCAACCACCCACAGATAACAGTACATACAAGCAAGCGTCGTCAGGCAGGCCGAGTCAATATCAATTGGGCAGGTAGGTACAGGGGGAGCAAGCGGAGAATGGTCGGGGTCACAGGCCAGGTTCAGCAGGTAGCAAGCAGCGTAGTACAGAGGGTCAGGCAGAGGGATGGTCAGGGTCACAAGCCAGGGATCAGAACAGGTAGCAAGCAGCGTAGTACAGAGGGTCAGGCAGAGGGATGGTCAGGGTCACAAGCCAGGGATCAGAACAGGTAGCAAAGGAACAGAAACAGGATGCAGGACAGATACAGGGCCCAGGACAAACACAACACCAAGGCAGAGTCTGCAAGTCTGGCCATCCCTTAAATACACCAGTATCATCAGTTCCAGGTGTTAGCTGGCTGAAAGGTTGAGTCTCTGATTGCTGGGAGCACCCGCTGGCCAGCCCTGGTACTGCAGATCAAAAGGCAGGTGAGTCCCACCATTGCTGGCCAGTCCATTCCTGACAACAGGCTACTACAGCTCTGACACCTTTCAGAACTGGGTGTGGAGGTGTACATGCAAAGATGGTACTGTATTTATCACAGTATTTCTGTATGAGCACACTTGTAGTATGGCCCTGAAGCTCACTGCAAAACAAAAAGAATGGCAAATCATAGTTAAGAAGGTCGAGGGCTGGAGATTCTGAAGGTAAGTCCACAATTACCTCCATGTGATCATAGAGGCCCATAGTGGGCTCAAAAGGAACTTTTGTTGTAGTGTCAAAATGTGGAACTAGCATTTCAGAGGTGTTTGAGATCCAGCCCCTGCAATAGCCTACCATGCCTAGGAACGCCTTTATCTGTCTTAAAGTGGTTGACCTGAAAATCTTTCTCAATGCTGGGATTCTGTCTGGTGTAAAGTGTTCTGCTCCTGGTGAAATGCAATTACCTAGAAAGATCACCTTCTCCTGTGACAACTGCATCTTTTCCCTGCTGACTTTACACTTGTGTATTGCAAGGTGGTAAAGCAAACTTTTGTCTCCACCCTGCATGGAGAGTCTGGGTCATCTACACAAAGAAGTATGACATCTACATAAGACAAAATTACAGTTGTGCTGTATATGGGGACCCATTGTCTCAAGATTTCTGAAATTAGCGCACAATACTCTCTAGGGGTTGACACACAACCCTGAGGAAGACAAGCCCAGGTCATCTGATTTTGTCCAAACATAAAGGCATATAGGTATTGATAGTCCTCAGCCACTGGTACACTCCAAAAATCATTAGCTAAATCAATCACTGAGAAATACGTGGCTGTATGTAGTATACCTGAGAGCAGGGCAGGTGGATTTTGTACCGGGGGGCATGTGACAGGATGATTTTATTGCCCTCAAGTTATGCACCAGACTGTACACTGTCGGCTGTCCTGGAGCAGTTTTCTTAGTGACTGGAAACAGTAGAGTATTTGATGGTGATATGCATAGTCTCACTGAATCTCTACCAGCCTGTCAAGTTGAGCTTTTATTCCCTCAATTTGCTGTGGGACAGGGCATACTGATGGAGTTTAAATATATGGGACCCTGGTTTGATTTTAAAAGTCACTGGTGGTATACCTAGCTTACAGGCATCATACCTGTCAACTACCCACAAATCAGCAGGTATACAATCTCCCAGCGGCATGTTCAGTGGGAAGGGGGCTGGCCTGTGAGAGGAATGTGTGTAAGAATCCAGTCACTGTGAATAGGGTCTCCTCTGCTACCTTTTGAAGTAACTCACACACCTACAGGAGTGTAATCTATACAGGCTTCAGTGGCTGACAATAAATCAGCTCCTAGCAAGTTAAGAAGGACATCATCGGACACTAAAACTTGCAAAAAAAGAGCAGTGTTCTTACCAAGCCTAATTCTGACAGGTTTGCTTTCTTTCAGTGGGACACTATCTCCAGACAATCTTGCAGAGGGAACAATTATGTCTGTTAATAATCCTGGGGGAAACTCACTTGATTTCAGGACTGTATGGCAAGAACCCAGGAAAGGGCAAGTTGACTAAAAAGTTTTTTAAGATAACATCCCTATTGTCCTTTTGTATCTGTGATACAGGTTTGCCAATTTCCTAGTGGCCAATGATCATGGCAATAGGAGAGTCTGTCTGTGGTTCTTCTTTGTGCAAGTCTGTGGAGACACCTTCTGGTCTAACTTCCATCACTTTAGGTTTAGGCTTCTTCGTTTCTTCCTGCATTTGGGCCTCAATACCCCTTGCTATTGGAAGGAGTTCAGTAATCTTCATATTAGGCACTTCTGGTCTAGAGATCAACAGTCTCTTTGTAAAGTCTGGTCATAGTCCAGACAAAAATCTAGTCTTTAAAAGAATCGCTAATGGAGAGAGGGCATCAGCAGCAAAATCTAACATCATGCCTGCATCATCCGCTGCCTGCCACAGTCTCTTATAAAAGGCAGCAGTTTCCTTATTTCCTTGAAATATAATCTTAAAATTTGCATAGCTCCAAAGATTTGATCAAACTGGCTGTCATTTTTGCACAAAACTTAAGTTCATCCCCCACCTTATTATTCTTTTCCTGCTCCATCAAGTCTGTACTGAGTAACAGATCAGTCATCGGAGCACCCAGTCATTTAAGAATTGTCTTCATATCCACTGCACTTGCATCACAGCTGGCTTATACAACCTTCTTGCCAAAAAGAGTCGGGTCTTTTCTGGAGTCTAGAAGGTCAGCTAAAATCTGTCTCATTTGTGAAGTAGTGGCTGGTTCCTGCCAAGTGAATACCACTTGCTCTGTCATGCTGCCGTCGTTTTCTCTCTTTGCTACAGTTTGCAGCCTAACTGGGAATGTATTCACTGTTGAGTGAGCAGTTCCACCACTTACTTGGTCCAACTTATCTTTTTCACTTTCTATATCAGTCTTGGTATCCTCTACTAGAGTCATACCTTATTTATCCAAGTACAGTCTTCTAATCATTAATTCCCGGGGTCTGGTTTGCAGACCTTTCTGGTTTTCAACATGTCTTCCACATTTGGGTAATGTTTAGGTATTTCTTTATTGTCTGTTACAGCTGTCCCTTCACTATGGTCTTGTAGCTGTGGTTGTGCTGGGGCATGTTATGCAGCTGGCTTTGCCTGTTGTGTTGGTTTGGTCTGCAGGTATAACTGCGGCATAAGGAGGTGGCCTTGTTTTTTTGTCATCTGTTCTGTCATCTATAGGCATATGATAATAAATCCCTGTAGGGACTCGATATATAGGGAC